AGTAGGGGTCCTCTCTATGGAGAGAGAGTTTTTTACAGTTGTCCAGAGATTGGACAAACTAAAGACCTTTTGAGTTTTCATAAACATTGATGGCTTCCTTATTTTTTTATGTTTGGAAGGGGAGAGTAAGGTGAGGGGTATTCAGCTGAAACATGCAAATTCACCACTAAATTCTACACACTGAACCTTTAACTAAGTGATTATACATATTATTTCATCAGGCTTCATATATATGTACAGCTGGTCTTAGTGTACATGGTGCTTTCTAATGATGTTGCTTAAAGGGAGCATGAGGTGAAGAGTATCGGTCCAAGGACAGAGCCTTGTGGAACTCCATGATTAACTTGCATGTGCATGGAGGAGTCTTTGTTAACATGAACAAATTGAAATTTAAAGCAGCCTAGTGCCGTTCCTTTAATCCCTACATGTTGTTCTAGTCTCTGTGACAGAATCTTATCTTATCCAACAGGATAAGTTTAGAGACAAGTCCATCATCTGAAAGGTCATTAGTAACTTTTAATAGTGCTGTCTCTGTGCTGTGATGGATTCTAAATCCTGACTGAAATTTTTCCAGCAAACCGTTACTATCGAAGTAATCACACATCTGCTTAGCAACAGCTTTTTCTAGGATTTTGGAAATGAAGGGCAGGTTTGATATGGGTTTATAATTAGCTAAAACCTCTGGATCAAGAGTGGGCTTTTTAAGCAGAGGTTTAATTACCCCCTGTGGTAATAAAGCCTGTGGTATGTAGCCAGTTAACGAAGACATATTAATCTGGTTTATTACGGAACTGTCAATTTGAAGAAAAACCTATAGCTGGGACAGGGTCTAGTATACAAGTTGATGGTTTGGAGGACGAGACTAGTGAAGTGAATGATCTGCAGGTGGTTCTATTATTTCTATACTGAACAATGTTTTTGTGCTATTCATGGGGAGAAGGTGGTGAATTATTCTCCTGATGGTTAGAATTATATTTGTAAAGAAGTTCATGAAATCATTGCTTCTCTGGGTTAGAGGAATAGATGGGTCAGTAGAGCTGTGACTCTCTGTCAGCCTGTGCTGAAAAGACCTAGGGGTGGTTTTTATTTTATTTGATTAATAATGAATAATAGGAGGTTCTGTCATTTCTGGGTGCTTTCTTGTAATTTATCAGGCTCTTTCCAGGTTAGGTGAGAATCATCTTGGCTGGTGGAACGCCACTTCCTCTCCGTGTTTTTGAGAATTATACCATGGAACTAATCTCCTCTGATTTGCTTTATTCTATTCCAGTGGGGCGACAGCGTCAAAGCAAAGGTTGTTTTTAATGAGGCTGTTGTACTATTAACAAAGTTATCAACTAGTGTGGGAGAGAGGTTTTGTCACAGGGCTGTGAAGTTAATGTAAGAGGAATTATTTCCTGACTATATTATCTGATAAACACAGGCTATAATAGAATGTCTGTCCAGAATCAGTGTAATCAATAATTGTAAATTCAAATGTAATTAAAAAATAGTCAGACAGAAGAGGGTTTTGGGGAATAATTATTAAATTGTTAATGGCTATGCCATATGTCAGAACAAGATCAAGGGTGTGGTTCATTCACATGTTGAGTAAAACTAATAAGTCTATTAATTAATTAAATGCTGAACTAAGGCTGTCATTGGCAACAACAATCTACATGAATATTTAAATCACTTACTATATTGACTTTATCTTTCCTAGCTTCTGCTAGATAAAGTTCTACTAGCTCAGATAGAAATTCAGAGAATTCAGATCAACATTCAGAGTAAGTGGCAGGTGGACAAAATATAACAACTAGATGAACTGGTTGTTGTGATTTCAGGCTTGGATGGATGAGGCTGATTATAAGATTTTCAATCAAGTTATAACTACCTTTCGGTCGAGGGTTGATAGATAAATTGGATTTAGAGATTGCTGCAACCCCTCCACCTCTGTCTGTGCTTTCAGGAATATGAGTATCCAAATGGGTGGGGGGGCGTTACTTGATTTAAACTCACATATTCACCATTTTGCAGCCAGGTTTTAGTTTGACACAGTAAATCGATCTGATAGTCAGTAATCAGAACATTAATGAGTAGGGATTTCGGATTGAGTGACCTGATATTAAATAAACCACATTTTCTCATTCTATTTTTTGGGTTGTATAGTGGTTGTATTAACTTTTATTTGGTTTGAATGTATTACTCCTCACCTGATTACTTTTGATTAAATGAATTTAGGTGGCCGGGGTAGACACAGTTTCTATAGGATGGGGGTGGGTTTGCTCTGCTCTAATAGAACTCTGCATGCAACTCTGCCTCCTGGTCTCAAGAAGCGTTATGGTTTTGACTGTCTGATAAACATTGCCATATTTCTAGATATTTTATATTTTAAAGTGGGCCGCTGTGGCTGAGGGGTAGGGTGGACGATCTCATTGAAAAAAGTACTGCCCATAGATGCACTGTATGAATGTGTGTGAATGGCAAAAAAATGTTCTGTGAAGAGCTTTGAGAAGTCATCAATACTAGAAAAGAGTAAATACAGACCATCTTCAAAGGGCTGTTTGAGGGTTCAGATGATTTAGGGTTAGAGTTAGGTTACGGTTTAGGGTTTGTTATTTAGTTTTTTATGGTTAGGGGAATGCAGTATGT